GTAAGTGGCAGAGTGGCCTTGCTGCCACGATCCACTGAGATTCAGCCCTTCGTCGCTCCGATTCGTCCCTCCCCACGCAACAAACCAATTTATTTCTTTCAAGTGTCATGGAGGTTATAGGAAAAGTAATGTGCATGCGTGAGTTGGGGTGGTGTGGGTTTGGGTGTTGGTGAGAATGATGCATGGGTCGGTGGGAGCATGGCTTGGGGGCTCGTGTGCCCGCTAAGGCTTATGGACGGCAACCATGGGGCGCCAGTGCTCGCCCCCTCGTGCGTGCGCCAAGCCAACACATACCCAACGCAAGCACAACTAACAAGTCCATGTTCACACCCTTGTCTACATGCCCACTGCAAAGCCACTCATGCTAGCCACAAAACCCTTTCATAGGTTAACCTGTATTAAAAATCAAAGACATCCAAAACCCTTGGAGGTTAACTCGCACACCCTACACGACCCCCGCGCGCGCTACCCCCAGCGCACACCCCGCACACCCTCGGGCGCTCTCCTGCCCCGCCCCACCCTTGTTCTCCAGCGCACGCGCCCCCTGCCCCGCCACTCCCCGCCAGCGTGCTCCCGCGTGTCACAACCATAGTATGAAGAGAGTAGGTTGTGACCCTCACGCCATGACAAGCAAAGGGGCGTCCCTCAAGAGACGCCCCATCCACCATATGTGGGCCAACATAGAAGAATGCCATGATGCGATCAAGGAGGACGATGCATCATCCAACACACCACCACGCAAAGTGGGTATTGAAGATATATGTTGAGACATAAGCATAACAGAGACATCAACATAGACATGAAGAACAAGATAGGCTTGTTGAAGGGCCAGGTAGGGCCCCGGGCCTTAACCTCAAAAGTCAGGGTTTCGATAGGAATTTGGGCATGCGGTTCGGGAGTTAACTCCGTCAATATGAAATATGAATGCTCGCCAAGTTTGGTGTCAATCAGACATTGGACGGACAATGCACGACACCGTATGACACCTCACCAAAATCATGTCTACAACTGGTAGAATGAAAATGGCTCAAAATGTACTACAGGGGGTGCCATGGTGTTAGCTCTCCACCATTCCTGGGTCCTTTGGCCTAAGTGAGCTACCCTGTGGCACATACGTGTGTCACAGTGTGGGCGAGCATGCCGAGACGAGTGTCTCGGGCGACTTCCTTTGAAATTGGTTTTTGAAGGACAGTACCGGACGGCACAGGTGTGCCGATATTGCGCCCTAGCCCGCATGTTGGAGGTTGCTACATACACCCGCTATCCTGGACGGTATTTGTAAATGACTCGACATGGGCACGGGAGGGCCTATGCCTCGATAGAACCCGAATGGATGGATGTTCGGGAAGTCCCGATGAGATGAACGACACGCGGGCCCATTCTCGATGGCATGACCGAATGAGTTATGATGGCTGACGACATCCCGAGACTCGTGATGGCGCCAAGACATATAGACCCTATCGATGGGGATCGAGATGACAAGATGAGATGCGGCGTTATATTGAGAGACCTTGGCCCGAGTAGAGGCAAGGTCGAGCCGAATGAGTTGGTCTAGCGTAGAGGCAAGTCGGATGTGTCACAGATGATTGAACATACACGCATAGGCGACGTATGTGGTTGAACAAGCTTGGATTCTGCACAACCGATGTTCGATTGGTGAAGACAAACTTCGCCTAAGGTCTGACGAAGCTACAAAGCCAGGGTGAAAAATACATATGGGGCTTAATTCCCCTTAAGGCTAGTCGTGAGCGTGTATAGATCACGACGGCGTACGGTCAAGAAGGCAGGACCGTGACACCGTGCGCGCGACCCCCCGCCCCGCCCGCATGCTTCCGCGCGCACTCTCCCCCCACCCCGCCCCGCCAGCGTTCTCCCGCGTGCCCCGTCCCGTCCCCTCCCGCGTTTTGCTATGTGTGCGCCCGCGCCTGCGCCCCATCCATCACCCATTAATTGTGAAAGTACGTGTGGAGTGGTCAGTTTGTTGTAATTTTTTTTCTGAGAGCTAAGAAACATGAAAACATGATTCCCACAAAATTTCAGATTTTTTTAACAACTCTAGCTATTTTTTCTAATTTCCTATTATTTAATATTTAAAAATTCATTAAAAAAATTGGTTGGTTGAAAAATTATGAAACTTGATTTATAGATTCATTAGAATGTCCCTATGACGGCTCAGAAAAATCGTATCTAGGCCTGGCATACCAAAAATGGCTCAAAATGTACTATATAGGGGGGTGACTAGTCTGCATGGGCTGAGCACGGGGGCACCCCCTATATCTTCCGCCTCCCCCATGCCCCAAGCACTAAGTGCCGCACATGGGCATGTGCTTGGGGTGTGGGGGTGGTGGTTGGCGGACGAGGGCGGTTGATGGCGGTAGTGCGGTGGCGAAACTTGCAGGGTGAGGTAGTTGTCGGGTGCGCCCTCGGGCGTGCAACATGAGCCTTGTTGAGATTTGAATTTTGCGATGTTGCCTTCTAACTTGGGCTAGCTTGAGGATGGTTGATTGCTGGGACGATGATGAAACACGCAAGGTGGGGTGGAGTCAGGTGCCTTTGGGCGTGTGGCATGAACCTCGTTGAGTGTGTGACGTTGTGGTGATGCTCGGCCAGCCTTGGGCCAGCCCTATGTTTTGAAGGCGTGTGGGTGCCAGAACATGTTCGGTTGGTTGGAATCGGGTGCCTTTGGGCGTGCGACATGAGCCTCGTTGAGCACGGAATGTTGCAATGTTGCCTTCTAACTGGGAATCTCTTGTGTGAGGACTGTGGATGGCTGCTGGTACGATGATGAAACATGCAAGGTGGGGTGGAGCTGGGTGCCTTCGGGAGTGCAGCATGAACCTCGTTGAGTGTGGGACGTTGTTGTGGTATGCCTCCCTTCCTTGGGCTAGCCCTATGTTTTGAAGGCTGCGTGGTGGCAGAACATTCTTGGTGGGGCGGTGTCAAATGACTTTGGGCGTGCGACATGAGACTTTTTGAGCATGGAATGTGGCCTACTGACTTGGGCTGACTTAAGGATGGTTGATGGTTGGTACGGCGACAAAGCGTGCTAGGTGGGGTGGAGTAGGGTGCCTTCGGGTGCCCAACATGAACCTCGTCGAGCGTGTGACGTTGTGGTGACGCCATTGGGCCATCCTTGGGCTAGCCCTATGTTTTGAAGGTGGCATGTTGGCAGAACATTCATGGTGGGGCGGTGTGAAGTGCCTTTGGGCGTGCGACATGAGCCTCGCTTTGCACTGAATGTTGCGATGTTGCCTTTAGGATGGTTGATGGTTTGACCGCGCACGACGTTTTGGGCTTGGCTTCGAATGATGATTTTGAACCCCCACTTGCGGTGGGTGTGAATAGTCGATCGTCGTCCAAGATTGTTTTAGCATACGGCGCATGAGTGGTGATTTGGTTGCTTGGGTATATAGGCTTGATGCTCGGGCATCAAACTGTAGGCGACATCTCCTCCTCATTGGTGTGTCCCAAATTATTTTGAGTGACCGTAGTCCATTGGTTCTTGCACAGATTACCTCATGCACCGGTAGGCATCGAGTCTTGTTAGTCCCTTTCTGTCAGCACCCTTGTTGGATGCATAATGAACTTGGAAGCCCGCTTTGCATATCGCTTCAACCTTTGAATGGCTTGTTGCGAAATGTGTCTTGGTTGCTTGCACTCTCGGATGCCGTGCATTTGGTGGCATGATGTGCTTGGGAAACCCCTCGAACAATGTTGCCTATGTATTATTGCTAAACGAAGCATGAAAGAATGACGCTTGCTCTTGCATTGCCACCATTGTTGCCTCTCTCACACTCCATTTGGAGGGGGAGATGGTGAAATGTGGTGGCATGTGGCTTGCAACGTTGTGTTGAAATGCTACCTAGTTGATCCTGCCAGTAGTCATATGCTTGTCTCAAAGATTAAGCCATGCATGTGTAAGTATGAACTAATTCAGACTCTGAAACTGCGAATGGCTCATTAAATCAGTTATAGTTTGTTTGATGGTATTTGCTACTCGGATAACCGTAGTAATTCTACAGCTAATACGTGCAACAAACCCCGACTTCTGGAAGGGATGCATTTATTAGATAAAAGGTCAACGTGGGCTCTGCCCGTTGCTCTGATGATTCATGATAACTCGACGCATCGCACTGCCATCATGCCGGCGACGCATCATTCAAATTTTTGCCCTATCAACTTTTGACGGTAGGATAGTGGCCTACTATGGTGGTGACAGGTGACGGAGAATTAGGGTTCGATTTCGGAGAGGGAGCCTGAGAAACGGCTACCACATCCAAGGAAGGCAGCAGACGCGCAAATTATCCAATCCTGACACGGGGAGGTAGTGACAATAAATAACAATATCGGGCTCTTCGAGTCTGGTAATTGGAATGAGTACAATCTAAATCCCTTAACGAGGATCAATTGGAGGGCAAGTCTGGTGCCAGCAGCCGCGGTAATTCCAGCTCCAATAGCGTATATTTATGTTGTTGCAGTTAAAAAAGCTCGTAGTTGGACCTTGGGTTGGGTCGATCGGTCCGCCTGTGGTGAGCACCGATTGGCTCGTCCCTTCTGTCGGCGATGCGCTTCTGGCCTTAACTGGCCGGGTCGTGCCTCTGGCGCTGTTACTTTTAAGAAATTAGAGTGCTCAAAGCAAGCCTACGCTCTGTATGCATTAGCATGGGATAACATCATAGGATTTCGATCCTATTCTGTTGGCCTTCGGGATCGGAGTAATGATTAACAGGGACAGTCGAAGGCATTCGTATTTCATAGTCAGAGGTGAAATTCTTGGATTTATGAAAGACGAACAACTGCAAAATTATTTGCCAAGGATGTTTTCATAAATCATGAACGAAAGTTGGGGGCTCGAAGACGATCAGATATCATCCTAGTCTCAACCATAAACGATGCCGACCAGAGATTGGCGGATGTTGCTTTAAGAACTCCGCCAACACCTTATGAGAAATCAAAGTCTAGGGGTTACGGGGGAAGTATGGTCGCAAGGTTGAAACTTA